GCCAGTCCTTCATCCCCTTAAATGGAATAGGGTGAACACATCTCATATAATTGTTTTACTGGTAGTCTCAAAAACATACTTAGAAACGAAAAATAAGTAGTAAATGTTAAGCTTACTTCCATTTCGAGTGAAAGTGTTTGGTGAAGAGATTCGAAGGTCGATTCCACTAGACGACGACGGCAGATTCCTCTTGACCAGCTGTCGATTGGCTTTACTGGAAGATTCATTTTGACACTGTTTCCGAGGTAATCTCTTTCGATTTCAGTGGAATGGTGATAAGCTTTAGTCCATCATATGACGAGCACCATCAGAGCAAGGTATCATCGTAACAACAAAATTCAAAGTAACGAGTCAAGAAAACAAGAAAAGAGGCACATACACATACAGAGACAAACACACTCACAGACTTCGAAGTCAACATATGACCAAACCACTTTATACCTGATAAAGGAGGCCAGATATAGAGTACATATATACCACTTTTTAGGGATTTGCCGGTGAGGAATCCGCCGTCGTCTTCTGGTGGAACCGACTTTCGAATCTCTTCAACCAACACTTTCACTTGAAATTGAAGTAAGCTCAAAAATTATGAAACAAGAGATTCCACAAAACCAAAATTTTCTTCGCATAAGTAGTAAAGCCGATTGCTATAATAAATATAACTTTGCTCATCGACAATCACAACATAGAATGTGATATGGAAAAATGCCTGGCCTTCCTTGAAACTCACATCTGTCCTGTGATCAAACGGCACTCATTACTAGTGGCGTAGTGAGTAAAGTGTCAAAATTATGCGCTGTACTACGATAATCCGGGTTCAAGTCCCGCTAGATGGCTGATAAGACCTATTAGAAGTCAAAACTGCAGTCCATCATGGATGAGAATGCCTTTTTGGAAACAAGACTACGCAAAATTGTACTGGGACGTAAGGTAAACTCGTATCATTGTTAGAAAATCAACTAGCAATCCCTGTTAGCACGTTAAACAAAATTGGATGAGCACATTTCATATTCTATATTAATCATTTTATTCTCATTCTAATACCGAAACATCATAGCGACAATTTATTTAGAGTATACAAGAAAGTGAGCAAACTCTTGTTTTAGTACTGGAAGCACAAGTTGACGGCAAAGGTAAGACCAATGCTTAGCTCAAATTCCTCAATGAATCCCGGCGTGTCAATAAGGTCTCTCTGTAGTTTCGAATGCCTTGAATCCGTCTTTCCATCTGCCTCTTGAGAGATGTGAAGCCGCGCCAGTTCATGCATCCAACAGCGGAGCAGAATAGGGGAGCGTGAGAACATTCCCGGCCTAAGGAGTTGACAATGCACAATGGACTCGATTATAATAATGAGCAGAGTCGAACCCAGGCAAATACAAAATGCGTGTGAATTGAGTGAATCAGATGATTATGAGGCTGCAGCAACTGATTTAAACCAATAACCAATACCTGAAACTGACAGAAGAAAATCCTATCTGCGTCTCTACGGCATTCTTGTACGTAGCGTTCGAACTGCTCAACCCGAACAGGCTTTGGTCTGAGAAAAAAATAGAGAGAATTAATTATGAAAAATGTCGATAAATTCAATATCATGCAATCACCACCGCACAAGAACAAATCGTATCCGTCTTTAAGTGATCAATTTCCGGACTTGCTTGTAACCAAGGCCCCAGCAACAGGCAAATCGAGTTATCTGTACACCTGACAGAAGAGACTATTCCCTGTTCCAGCCGAGAACCTGCCGGTAGATTATAAAACCTTATAAGTTGTTTGACCTTGTTTTCGCAACTTGTTCATATTGGTAGGGAGACTTAGAGGAACGCACATAGTCCGGAGTCCATTGTATGCATGATCATTTCCAAAGTCGGACCTTGGACGTGGTACATTCTCAGACATTTCGCCATCAGCTTTGTCAGTGAGTCTTGCCATTCTTAGCACCACACTACAACTCGTTAAATAGACAAGTGAAGCCAATTGTCTGCTAAACAATCGTGATATCTCTCCTTGCGCCCTGGGCAATTAAACAATCCTATATCTTCGTACCATCGCTTCACTATCCCACATTTTTACTTGCTTATTTAAATGTGGTATGGCGTGCTCTTTTGAGCGGATTTCATAAGCACTCTTCACACCCCATGTTGACTTTCTATCAGAGTCTCCCTCTTGTCCCGAAGAATAGGCCTCCTGCCTTCCTGGTTCAAGTATTTCACTCGACCCCTGCCACCTTTTCTGCACTACTTAAGCGTTATTTCCCCTATTGTATCAAACATGTCTACTGTTAGCCAACTATCACTAGTCTCCGCCGCATCTAGTAGTACAGATATGGTTGCAGGGGTCGAGTGAAATACCTGAACCAGCAAGGTAGGGTGCTGATCCTGCGGGCAAGAGGGAGACTCTGATAAGACCCATGGGAAGAGGATTACAGGATAAAGTGGTGTAAAAATTCAGCGTGGAGTTTGGAGAGTTCTCATGAAATCAGCAAAAAAAGGCACACAATGCCACATTTAAATAAGATATTTCGATAGTGTTGGGGGATAATCCAGGGCAGGAGAGATACCACAATTGCTTAGCAGACAAATGGTCAAAGGATCGGCTTCACTTGTCTCTTTGACGAGTTGTACTATGATGCTAAGAACGATAAGACTCACTGACAACGCCGGCAAAACGTCTGTGAATGTATCACGTCCATGGTCCGACTTTAGAAATGATCATGCATACAATGGACTCCGGACTAGGTGCGCTCCTCTAAGTCCTCCTACCAAAATGAGAAAGTTGCGAAAACAAGGTCAAACAACTTGTATACAACGAAAGGAGATTGTGAGCATACACAAGGCCACATCATTTTTGTAGAATGTGAAGTTGCTTTCATAAGGGAGGATTAAAAATTATTTGGTGCTAAGACCCTAGCCTGGGATACCAAAGCAAGTATAGAAACCTGCTCAACAGGAGTATAAGGTTGTGATTTAGTTAGCGAAGATGGTCAACAATCTGATTCAAGACTTCAGAAAAATTCTTTCAGTAAACTAGTAAAGAATTTCCACAACTGGGCTTGTACGAGTACTTGACAATAAAATAACATAGATAATCGGTGTACTCGAAGATACTTGAGTTAAAACAGTGCACAGTGAAGAAAAAGAGGACATGAGCGACAACCTGTTTAATCAGACAGTGTCTTAAAGCATCGTCCGAAAAAACGCAAAAAAATAAAATGGAGAAAAAGTGATAAAAAGATGACTTGGAGAGAAAAACTCGTGCCAGAAAAACCTACGGATACACAAAAGAGGTCTAAATGGCGATGAGGATTATGATGAAACTTCAAAATGCAACAACACCTTCTGTGCAACCAGTAGAATTAGTTGAAACAATGGTCCTTATTTGCCATACAGATCGTAAAGAAAAGTAAATTAATTGAAGAAACGAAGACCAAGATGTTGTGGCCTCTGGTATGGTCGCAGTCTCCTTTCGATTTATAGAAGTGGGTTGAC